CAACGTTAGATTGAGAATGAATTACATCATTGAAACAGACGTCCAAAATGAAGAGAAAATCTCGAATGAAAAGATTTTCCAGACGATTCACTTGTGAAGTGTATTTTTTTGAATAAACTGACAGTGATCTGACTTACTGGTAGATAATTCAATAGTGCACAAGGGGTAGTCAGATATAAAAACCAAAGATTGTGGTCTATCACACTTTGTGTAGCTATCTATATTGATTATTTTAATAAAAACAGTTTCATATTGAACACATAACTGACAGTGCTACGATCAAAACATTGACGAATCTCAAATTAGATCAATGACTAGAACCCGTATGTTATTCAATATTTTGATCCTAGTATTCTTATTGCTTAGCTAAATGTAAAACTTTTTAAACTGAAATAATCAGTGTAGATCACCGGATAAAGTCTGACAGACGTGAAACATTTTCTGAAAATCGTTGACTGTTTATAATGAAGTACTGAACAATGTTCTTAAAATTTTAAAACTTTCTATGTTTCTATCGCACACTATCATCATATGAATCATCACTTATACTTCGGCATTCAGTGTTCGACGGACTTTTAATTCTCTTTGTTTGTGAATTATTATATCTCATGGAAAAACTTTTCTTGCAGCTCTTTAGAATTAATTGGCTTTCAATGTGTTGGCCAATTTTTAGATATCCTTCAAAAGACCTAATAATGAAGTTTTGATACAAAATTTTGCCTAGGAATAGGTCTAATGAGTTTTAGAATATTCTGAAAGTTTCAGATAAAAATAATGTACCTTCGTCGAGTTATTGAATTTTTAAATGAACTTGATTATTGTGACCAAGAGTTGTTTTTTTCAAATTTAATACCTTAATAAATAATATGTTTTCGGTTGAAACTTTCAGGATATTATAAGACTTATTAAAACTATTTATAAGCAAATTTTTGGATAAAAACTCTGTTACTGAGTCTGCCAGAGAGTACCTAAAAATGAGTCGAAAATCGAGTGAATCAGTTATTAGTCGATGCTAATGGGCAATCGGAACGAACTGTTTTAGCCTTTGCGATCTTTTCTAATATCTACCTATGGATACAATATGATCTCAAATGGTGGGTGTCATTTAGGGTAGCTCAATCATTAGTGCATCTCCTAGACCTTAATGAGCTTTGCCTGTCATAAAAAAAGGTCATGTTCACAGTTTTATTCTCAAAAACAAATTTACTAAAATCTTTCGGTGTCCTTACGAACGCCTTGGGAACGTTCCTGTATTAATAACATCTTTTTTGTTTCTTTTTCATTCTTCTTTAGATAAGTCAGATTATTTCTCCAAAATCAACGTTTACATTAGAAGTTCCAAATTCTCAAGATCGTTATGCTTTTTTTGCTCCACTATTCAATGAAGAAACGTTTTCAGCTGTAACCTCAACAGAATCTATTACAGGTAAATTACATATAAAAAAGAAATATATTTTTAATCTTATAATATTTTAATAGAACCAGTTCAGGAAATATTAGAACTTGCTGAACCAGTACCAATGTCTCTTGAACGTAGTCAACTAGAATTAGAACGTTTAAAAGAACGTGAAGAAGCAACAATGACTGAACTTCGAGTATTTCTTCGTGATATGTTAAAAGTTTTATTACGTGATAAACGTTTTACATATTTTACACGTCCAATTGATGTCGAAGATGTACCTGATTATTATGATGTTATTGAAAATCCAATGACATTTTCAATGATGCTTGAAAAAGTTGATAAACATGATTATTCATCTGTTAAACAATTTGTACAAGATATTGATTTAATTGTTTCAAATGCTTTACTGTATAATCCAGATCATACAACACAAGGTAAAGAATTATTTCAAATAAAAAATAAATAAAAATTTTTCTTTCTTTTTTCATTTAATATTAGGACGATTAATTCGTCATAGAGCTTGTGAATTACGTGATGTTTGTCAATTTCATATTAATGCTGAACTTGATATGGAATTTGAATTATTATGTCAACAAGTTACTGAAGCACGAAAACAACGAGGTTTGTTATCAAAACAAATGTATTTTGATTGATTTTCTTTTGTTGTTTTGTTTCATGTAGGTGATGATCCAAGAGCATCATTACCTGATTATGTATATACTGAACAAACACCAGCAAATGATAGTATTCATCAAGAGAATGTAAATGCTTCACAAAATGATACAGAATATGCAATGGATGTATCAAATAAAAATTTACATAATACAAATGATCAATCCGATGTACAATTAGATACTTCATCAATATCAACAAGAAATTCAACGAAAAGACATAAAAGTAATGTTAGTCAACGTTCAACAATGACAAGAAAACAAGCAAAAGAAAAAGAATTAGTTAATGGACATAATGAAGTAAGAATATATTAATAGAATGACTATAGGAAAGTTATCGGATTTGAAACATAAAGATTGATTCGAAAGTTTCCAAATAAAATTTATCTTCATCTTTCACCCTTCCAGAAGTATTGTAGACGAATTAAATACTACGGGTTAGGAGTTTAGATGTTCGGGACGAAAAATTTGAAAGTTTGTCGGGACCGAAACGGCGAGACAGAAAAAAAAACTGCTAGGACTGGAACTAGTACAGATTTATCGACACCATTAGAAAAGAATCTATTGAAACTGTACCTATATCAAAGTCATCAGGACTATGACGAGAACTAGTATCAATAAACCTTGGTCCGCATCTCTCTAGTTACGACTAGAATATTCTGTTCTTAATGAATATGTACTCAGGAATTTCCTGTCTATTTGTACTCAAGAGTGTATTTGAGAAACTTGAACAATCCGTTGTGAACTTGGGATTTTTTTCATTTATGTTCGTATTTTCAATATTAGGATTCGCAACTAAACGTTAAAACTTCTGTTTATATATTAGCTTGTAGAGCAACCTATGCTGTACAAATATTCTATTAGTTTCATTATTAGAGTTTACACAATGTCTTATTTTGTCGAAGGAAATTTCTTGAATATCGAATTGATTGTCGCTTGAAACTCTTATCGTTTTATTAGCCATGATGAGCAAGAGAAAAATCTGTTTTAGTGTGAATTTCTGATTTTCACTGGTCTAGTTTGGGACATTTTGTTTGATCTATGGTTTTTCAGCTTAGAGCCAGTGAGAACTTGGATGATCGAATGTCTAAATTGAAACTTTGTCAATAGATAGATCTTATAGTTACTAAAAATATTTCAAAGTTTGAGTTAGAACACACGTATCCTTATCGAGATATTGATTTGTTGTGAAAATTTCTTTCTTTTGATTTGATCTTAGAGAAGTTTCTAATGATTATAAGGTCTATTCATGGATAAAATTCTAGTTCGATATTCGATCATCCAAGTTCTCATCAATCCTATCCTCATAAAGCAAGAATTGAGTAAAACGTCACTAACTGTGTAAGACAAAACTAGGAAATAAACTTTTTCATTATTTTTCGTGACCTATTAATTAGCAATCGTTTTAAGCAAAAAAGCCATTAGACCATTGAAAACGTTTCCTCTACGACTATCTGCTGCTAAACATTCGAGTTTTTGCCAAATGACAGTCCTTCGTACTCCTAAAAATCATCAACAATGATAACCATCCCCAAACAGTAGAGACAAACATTCATCTCAATATTGTTTTCTGCACTTAATGATATTTTTCTATAGGTTCGTTGATGTTTTAATTCCTTCACTTTTTCTTGTTTTTTCACCTTCAGTATTTTTTCTTTGTTTTGGAGTTTCATCATAAAATGATAATAAAAAAAAAATACTTTTTTAAATTGTTTCATTAAAAAATCTAATTATTCTATTTTAGGAAACTGTTCTTTCAGCTGAAGATGCTGCATCAACAACTGTTACAACTGATGTATCAACAAAACCACCAACACCAGCAAATCATACAACTGAATCAATTGTTACAACAACAAATCAATCATCATCTTCATCGTCACCATCATTAGACCAATCAAATACAAAACGTGTCAAACGAACAGTATCTTCAACTTCATCGTCACCATGCAAAATAACATCTATTGATGATACATCAACAGATACAAAAGCAAAACGACAACGAACTGAAGAAACTGTTGAAGTATAATTTTGTTTTTTTTCTATGTTATGTTTAATTTAATTCGATTATTTATTAATTAAATAGATTATTGAAATAGCATCAACAAATATTGAGCAAAATGAAATTCCATTGAAAAAAATCGATACAGAACGTCTTGTATCAAATTTAACGTATCTTGTTGAACATACAAATGATTTTGGTGTAGAAAAATTAAGTACAATTTGGTTTGAATTATTCGATATAATCGAATCATGTCGATCGCTTTCATCAGATGAATTAATCTTTGAAGTAATTATTGTATTTTATATTTTCGATTTTCTAAAATTCTTTTTTTTTTGTTTTAGACTTTTGAAAAAAATCTTCGTTCAATTGTTTAATTTGTTAATTTTCATTCATTATTTATCTAGTCTTACCATTTCGCATTCTTGAAAATCTAATACACACGGCTAACTCAGGAAGAGCGACATATGATCTTCTTCTGTATTTCTCAGGATGGAACGAAGAAAAGAATATAAAGCTCATTTAGTTTTTTTTTTGTGTTTTTCTTTATGACTATTTTTCTTAGTTATCATAAAAAAATCTTTGTATAATCGATATATTGGTAATAACAAAAAAGAGAAATTCGAAACGAATTCATGTAGAATATGTAGCACTCAGATTAGATGCTATTTTGTCCTCTTCTGTTCTTGTTTTTTCTTTCTGTGCATATTATTATATTTGTCTTGTGTATCATGTATTTTCATGTGTTCATTTTTTTTTTCTTTGTAAAAAATAGACTTTCTGTTTCTTTTTTTTTTTTTGTCTTTATCTCTTGTATGGTAATAAAACAACAAACAACAAGTATTAAAGAATTATTGAATTGATAAAGAATGAAAGAAGAAATTTATTGAGTATATTTGATTTCGTTCCTTTTTTTTTGTAGATAACAATGGTAATTTCGAATAGTAAAATTGTTCAAGTTTGTAATGTATCAACATCATGTCAAAGAGAACAATTAAAATCTTTATTCAGTTTCATTGGAAGGATTAAAGAAGTTCAATTATATCCAGATAGGTAATATGTAGTCTTGCAATTTTCAATTCTTTTTTTTTTTTTATGTTATTGGAAATGTCGATGGAAATTGAACGAGAGAAATTTTTCTATTCGATAAAAATTCAGCACTAGGACTGTAATAGCTTATAGTTCTTGTTGGAAAACTGTGTCTAGTTACTAGACTTTTTCATATGAACTATATCTAATGATAAGGGTAATGCAACTATTCTATTAATTAAGTGTCACAAGTCCTTGATCGCTTTAAGCAGACGTACGTAGGTACATGATAAAACGTTCATAGACATGAATATGTAATATTATCATGTTTTGTGTTTTCGGGAAATGACTTATTCTTATATGATACGGCTAGGCATCCACTCAAAACCAATAATAGAATTTGAAAATTTTGACGCTGATCTCATTGATTATGAACTAAGTTCATGAGAAAACATTAAACAACAACATATTTTTGGTTGTTTTTACCTGTATTGTTAAGCAATTAGCTCAAATTCAGATAGTAATTTTATTAACTAATGAAATTTTGTATCTCATGCATTCTATACTAGATGAACTATGATGGCAAAGTTTTTAAATAGCCTAACCTCAAGTCTCAGAAGACGTTGTTGAAATCATTTTACGAGGTTTGTGATACTGAGGGAAAATCGTAGAAAATGCAATGTTTTCTCATTTTTGTCAAAAATTACATTGGTAAAAAAATAATATTCTGAGATCTGAAAACGCCTGTGTCCGACTTTTTAGAAATCTTGCCGACATAGTTCATCTAGTGTAGAATGCATAGAATAGATTATTCCATTGGCTATTAAAATCATTATGTGACTTTGAGATAATTACTTAGCATGATAGAAAAAAAAACCAAAAATACATTCTTGTTAAAATTTTTCCTACCATTTTATGTCAATAAACTATCACACCACAGAATTACCAAAAAATCTCTCTTTTGACATTCTCTGGCATCACTCCGCTACTTCAATTTTCTATCGATGGGAAAATCTTGTATGACGTAGTTCAATAGATAAGGACATTCTTCTTAATTTAGGCAGAAATAACCTACATGGTTTGGATGTATACCTAACTATGACTTTCTTTTCAATCCAAATGTTTGAACAAATCTAAAAAAAAAGTATTTCTTCAATAGTTCCAGAGAAGGAAGATATTTTTGTATTATGTTGGAAAAGATTTTTGTTTTTCTCAATCAGAAATAAGTATTTCTCTAAAGATTTTAATCTATATATATATTTATATGTAACGCAGACCAATCTGCCTACTGTTGATCGTTTGAGAAAAGGTAAAATTCTTCTAGCAAAAATGAACTTTTCAAACAAAATTCAAGTTTGACTCTAAATTAATGTTAGATACAAGATTATCTATTGATGACCTATAAAGTAGTGAAGATATTTCTAAAGTTATAAATTAATTTTAATCTAATCCTGACAAATGAAAAAAAAACACATGCCATCACTTTGTTTTTTAGTTCATCAAGCGAAAATTCCGTTATGGTATTGAAATCTGTTCAACATAATTTATCGATTAGGGTAAAATCACATGAGATTGCTAGACATTTATCAAGTCTAGCTATTTCTTTTACAAAACACATCAATTAACATCATTTATAATAAATCAATTTTAAAAACAAAAAAATTTCTTTGTTTTAGTGATACAATGACATCAACCATCAATGGTAAAGTTGGTTATATAAAATTCGATCGTATTGATAGTGTTCATAGTGCATTGAACATGACCAATACAATATTTTTTGATAAGCCATTAATTGTTTCTCAAGTATTGGAAAATAATATACCTGATGAAACTGATGCAATGATTTATTGTGCACCATTACATCCAAATATAACATTACTAAGTGGTGGTCCAACATGGCCAAGTACCGTTATTAATCGACTTGTTGATCAATCACCAAATAAATTTATTGAAACAATTGATCCTGAATTAACTGATCGAAATTTACCACCATATCCACCATTATCAGGAACACTTGATATTTCAAAAGTTGAAGAAATTCGACGAACTGTTTATTTATCTAATTTAGATAAAGATGTATGTAAAATTATACAAACAAATTTATATATATGCTATCATCCATTTTCATATGACTCTTTATATTTTTATTTTTTTGGTATTTTTTTTTTAATTTGATTAGATTTGTTTGGATCTGTTCCATGAATTTCTTTCACAAATTGGACAAATTCGATATATTCGTGCAGCTTATATCAATGAGAATGCTGAAACACGTGATGCTTATGTTGAATTTTGTGAACAACCATCAATTCCGAAAGTACTTTCAATAAATGGTTTTCAATTGTTCAATCGACCATTATTGTATGTAAAAATTATATTAAAAAATATTTTTCATTTTTATTTTTGAATAGCGTCAATCATGCAACTTCATGTGTTATCAAACCAGCGATTGTACAAGATTTAAGAAGTGGTAAGAAAAAGAAAAAGTCATTTTCTTGTTAGAAAATTATGTTGGATCATTTAGATGAACAAAATATGGAATTTAATCAAAGACATTCTCGCAGGTATGCATTAGATTTTAAATCTTTAATAAATAATAGAAATTCTTTGTAGTACATCACGTTATCAAGATACCGAAACAAGTGACGATGATGATCGTCATTCATCATCAAGATCAAAATATCGTAAAAAATCTTCAAAATCAAAGCGATCATTCAGATCTCCCACAAGGTTTGCTTTGATAATTAATAAAATAAAAGATTAATTTTGTTTTTCTTTTTGTTAGATCAAGAAAACGTAGTCGATCACGATCATCATCACGTGATCGAAAATATCGTTCACGTTCATCATCATATGATCATCATCGTCGAACGAAAGGTTCACCTTCAAAAGAACGTCATCGTCGAAGTGAAAGTCGAAAAGAGAAAAAATCCCGAAAATAAATAAATACATAGATCTTTTATACATATTTGTGTAAGAAGTTTTCAAAAAAAAAACAAAATAAACTAGAAAAAATTGTTTTTTCTTTTATTTGGTTATCTCATGAATAATTTCAGCAAAGAAAAATAAATGATGTAGATTTAATGAGGAACTCGAGATTTTTTTTTGTGCTGTTAGGCAATGTCTAAAATAGATTATAATGCGGTACGAACTTCGTTTTTTTCCCATTTTTTGAAAACAGACTAGTGGACTTTATATTGCAATTCTATTACTATTTTTTAGATGGAATATATATTTTATTCTGATATTTAAAATAGGTGAAGTAGAAGTTCTACATTGATTAAAAAAGTTAATTTCATATTTCTTGTTCACAAGTCAAAAAGAAAATTTAGTCATACCTAAGACAATCTCCAATAAAATTTGATGTTTTCATAAAGACTATGCTCATTAATTGTAAATATTGTACGATATTAGAATTTAAATATCTAACCCACATCTTCTATATATGTATAAATATTATTAAATACTTTTGAAGTTTTCTATTCTCTAATTTTATTATAGATTGAAATAATTCTACTTGTCTTATACTAATAACGATGAATTTAATATTGCAACTTATAATTCTGATAAAACGAGATTCTTCAAAAAAAGAAAAGATAATCGAATGGATAAAAGAAGGACAATTAAGCGTATGTATATCGTTGTGCTTTTCTTCTGATTTATGCTGCCAAATATTATGTGATTATCGATTATTTTAAGTTAATCTCATACAACATAAATGTTTTTCATTATTTATCTATTTATCTATTCTTTCTTTTTTTTTCTTTTAAGATATGCAATGATCTTTTGTTCTCGTGTTATTCTATTAATAATTCACCAGAAATCGAAGTGGTCTGTTGTTAATCGTCTTAAACAACCATGCCGTTTTTTTGGTGGAATGGATACATCACCATCTAATGTGATGAGAAATGCTCAAGTTCAAACAATATACTCAGACACACTTAGTATACCTAATCAAGGTCGATTAGAAGTTCGATGTCCATTTAATCTTCATGTGGCACCAATTCATCCAACAGATTTTCCAAGACTTGATAAAGCTTTCTTTACTATTTATGGTATGCATAATATGTCATAGGAGAATAATATTTTTTTTGAATGAAAATTTGTTCTAGGTGACAGTGGTTTTAAATTTTCAAAAGAAACATGGAATAAATTATTTAAATTTTCCACTGTGTTTAATGCTGATAGTCGAACACTTCATGTTATTGGTGGTTTCACTGAATCAGGTGAAAAAGAATTAGGTGAAGAAGCTCATACATTGGAAGTTTATTGTCAAATTCCTCCACATTATGGTAAATAAACGATTTTAAAAACTAAATTAAAAAAAAACATGAGGCGACTCTTCTTTTATTTAATTAGAACTCGATATTAATTGTATGGATAATAATAATGTTAATGCTGAACATCTTCAAAGTCCTCGTGTTCATGTAATGAAATTTATTTATAAAATTTTTGACAACTTATATATCAAATTTTTTCTAGATTCAAACAAAACGTGGTGAATGTTCCCTAAAAAATATAATTGTAAGGTTTCAAATTGAAGTTTCGTTATATTTAAGACAATATTTCTTTGCATAGGCAGACAGTATTGTTGTACACAGTCAAGCAGGAGATATAAAATGTTTTGGTTCATTACATGGAACAATCGATTTAAGCACGGAAAGAGAGGGTGTAATGAAAAACAAACTTATTTCAATAAAGCATATTTCTTATTGTTTGCTATTTAAATAGATAATACAAGCATCTAAATTACAAGGCGGTTTTATTCGTTTAAAAGTTGAAAATTCTGATATTCGTGTAAAAAGTATTTATGCCGAACATTTTTTTATTCAAGGACAACATGGACACTTTAGGGTGGGAAACTTACATGGCCATGGAATCGGTAAATAAAAATTTGATCATTTGATTTTTTTCTAAAATAGTATAATATATTTAGTGGATTTGAATAGAGGTTCAATAAAAATCGGTAAGAAATTTGATTTTTTCATTAGAAACTAAATTAACAACTATTGATTTTAGGATCCATTGATGGTGATGTGAGTCTTCAATGTGAAAAAGGTGATGTAAAGGCTTTTTTTTCATCGACGGATTTATCAACAATACGAGCTCAAGAAGGTTTAATTAAAGCTTTGATTAATTTTCTTAGTTTTATAAAAATTTATTTTATTCAGGTGATGTTGATTTAGGTATTATTGAAACGACAGGCATTCAATTAAACCTTGTTGGTAAACGCGTTCAAGTAGAAGAACAGACAGAACACTTTCATATGGAAACAATAAGAAAAGCAGGCATTGTTCAAGTACAAGGTTATATATCCGATGAATCAGCTCGCGCATCGATTGATGTTAATGCACCAAAGGGGACTGTTCATCTTCATGTACGAGATTGGTTTTCCACATTAAAACTTGACCGACATCTTGATCATTAAATAATTCTTTTGTTTTAGCTTGTAGTTGTTTTGAATTATTATTCTCATTTAATGTTTTTTTTTTAGATTAAAGATAAAAAGAAAATACTTAAAAAATGTTGGGTGGACCAGGTGCAAATGATGCAGAAATGAACAAACGAATGGCTGATTTACAAGTTAAATCAAGTTTTATTCAATTTATTGTTGCAGTTGGACTTATTAATTTAGGTAAAAAAAAATTTCATAGAAATAAAATAAATTAACATTTATGTTTTTTTTTTCTTTTAGCTCCATATGTTTTAGAAGCAATCATGGGTGAAAATCCTCGTTAAACACATTAATAATGATTTTGTTTTTGTGTTTTTGAAATGAAAACATAAATAAAGAAAAAAAGAAGCAAAAAGAAATAGATTTTTTTCATTTGTTCATTTAGTTATTATGTGTTGTTGTTTTTTCTAAATTTAGATGTCTTTATCAAAAGTACCAGTTCATAAATGTTTAGAAAAACTTCAATGGCTTTTAGGTGTCTGGCGTTCTGAATCGGCCATAATTCAACTCGAAGGAAAATCTTTTTCTTATTTAACTGAATTAAAGTGTGAACATGTTGGTCAACCAAATTTTATTCTTCATACTAATGCATTTAATGTTCAACCGTTACCAAATGATACATTATCATCATGGATAGATACAACTGAACTAAAACCATTCCATCGTGAAATGGGTTTTTTACGTGTTCATCCAAAAGATGAAGCAGCTACAAATATATCATATTTAAATGTACAAAATGTTGGTTTAGCTGATGTTGAAGAAGGTACTATTAACGGTAAAAGTTTTATTGTTGAAACAAAATCTATTGGACGTTCATGTTTTAATAATGATCCAAGTGTTCGATTACTTCGTCGAGAATATTCATTAGATCAAAATGATTCAAATATACTTCATGTTAAAGTTTTTATGAGTACAAGTCGTATGAATGAACATGAACAACCATACGAACATTTAACAATTCGATATCGAAAAGTATCAAACGAATAAATGGTTATTATATGAATAATTTACATTGAACTCATTGATTTTACCTTTTTCTTTCATTTGAGTAAAATTATTGTTTATGTTAGTAATTATCGCTCGATCAAAAAGAACTAATTATATGTGAAAGTTAAAGCAAATACATTCCCCACATTCCAATCAGAGTTTGTAGTTTTCGTTTCAGAATATAACTGAGCATTATTTAAATAAACTTGATGACTTCAAAAAACAAAAAGTAAAAATTTGAATTAAAAATATTGCATGACACTGAACATCATCAAATTTCATTAGGCTTTTTTTTTTGTATGAGAGCTACTGCCAATACTGACGATAAAATTTTTTTCTAAGTAAAACCTTTAGCAATGTAAATCGTAAAGCTAATTTTAGTTGGTGATCTTTTTTTAACCTCTATTTAACTTTTTTCGATTGTAGTTGCTCGTTGTTCGCTTGATTTGTGAATTTTTAAAATACTAGTATATTTATTGCATATATTTGTCCAAGTGAGTACTATTTATTTGTATTTCTTTTTTTTGCATTTTACAGACGTCCTTATTTCACTAAATCAATTGTAAGTTTATCTTAAGAATATTTCTTATAATAGCGAAATTTCAGGATGTGTGTTGAACTCTATTTTTCCAAAGAATATTATAGTAATAAATACATTTAATAACAAAAATAAATTCTTACAATATTTTATTGCATGAAAAATATACAGGTAAAAAAAATATTTTGTTCTTATTATTAAATAGAACAAAAAATGAATTTATCTGATTAATCGTAGACATCAATGTAGTGAACATTCTTTTTTCTTATAATTAAAAATAACTGAAGTATATATGATAAATTTATAATTTGTTTGATCTAGAGCTGTCTGTGCATAAACATTAAATTATGTTTTTTGCGCTGTAATTTAACAATACATTTGATTTAATACTCATTAAGCCACATTTGATTGCTTTTTTGCCATTCTTCACTGATTGACGCCAATACAAATATGTATATTATTACAACGTTGTTTTCTTATTATTTCAATAACTATTGAAAACCATCTCAATAACTCTTGTTCAACGTTTCTAGCAGTAAATGTACGTATCAAAGAAAAAAAAATTTTATAAGGTCTTTATATACTGCTGTACTCAGCTTGAGTACATATTACAATAATTTTTCACATCGTATCCTTTCAACTTTTTCTTTTTCTCTATTGACACACATCGGCTTGAATGCGACGATACAAATTACTAATAATATTTATTGAATAATAAGTGATTTCAAAAGTATATCTCTAAAACTAATGAGAAATGTTTCTTTTTTTCCAGTTATTAGTTTTGTCATCGTTTTCAAATTACCATATGATGTGTTTTCTCTTAGTTTCAATACAGGTTTATTCACATGAGAACTTTTGATTATTGTTTGGCCTATTAAAGTAAATAATTGAAAAGAAGAACAACATGTTTAAGTGGTAAATGTGACAGTATAAATAATTTAAGCATCTGCTTTTATTCTAGTTGCTTTGTTGATAGATGTCTTCGCTCTGTCCTATCTAGATATATGTTTTTAAAGAAGAAATTACGTTTATATATTTACAAGTTTTTGTAAATTTCCTAGAAATTTGCTTCATCGTATATTATTCTTACTTTTTGCACTGACAAACGAGTAAATGAAACATTCAACTATTACTATGCTCCCTATTTTTTTCTTTCTTTCTTTATGATAGTTACTCGATTGACGTCATTATCAATGTTATGAAAAGAAAGATTTCTCAGAAAAATACCTCTCACATGTATTAATATTTGTCTAGAAAATTTTCTTTTCTTTTTTTTTAATGTCAAGACCACACTTTCAAAACTATATATATAGATGCACTTCAACATTAACCTGTCTTCAAAAGTTCTTTTGTTGCTCTATTAAGTAATTATTGCAAAGGTTAACTCATTTATTATTCAAACTCTAATATTAAATCATGTGTGGATTTAATAGTGAAAATAAAAATAGAATGGATGTGAAGTTTATTTGTCAAATATGCAATTTAATACTACGAGATCCCATTCAACTTTATTGTGGTCATCGCTTTTGTGAATCATGTATAGATATTAAAGGAAGGTAATTATGAATTATTTTCAATTTATTATCTAATAATTGATTATCTATAGAGAACATATAAAATGTCATCAATGTGAAATACTAACATCGACAAGCAAGGTAAGATTTCTTTTAATTTTAAATTTTATTTGTTTGTTTGGTTTTTTTATACATAGATATTTTCTGATCAAGGTATGAAAAATGATATGAAAATGTTAGGTATACGTTGTTTTCTTTGTCGTTGGAATGGTCTATTTAAAAACTATCAAGTAATATAGGTTTATTATATATATATATATTATTAATACAATTTTTTAAGAATCATTTGACTAAAAGTCATTCAAATTCATTCACTAATCGAAATATTAACAATAATATAATCTTTCAACTACGACAATTAACTGAAAAATTCTATGAATATTCAAAAAATGTAAAAATATTAAGAGCTATTATAGAACAAATTTTATCTCAAACATTGAGAGATCAATTAAGTATTGAAGAAACAAATCCTCCAGAAGAAATTTTTGAACAAAAACAGGATTTTATCGTTCCATCTAATGGTACATTATTATGGAAAATTGATAATATTAAAAAAAAATTAAGTAAGTTCTATTCTTCGATTGAATTTTCTATTGATAAGTTTCCGTTTAGATAATATAAGATTTGTGTTAACATCACCATCATTTTATACATCACCAGATGGTTATAAAATGTGTGTTCGACTTTATGTGAATGGTAATGGTGTTGGTCAATCAACTCATATATCTATTTTTATTGTTCTTATGCGTGGTAATTCTGATGCTATCCTTGTTTGGCCATTTAATTTTCAAGTTATATTTTGTCTTTATAATTTAATTGATCAAAGCAATCATATCATTGAATCATTTCAATCTGATACAGAATCAAAATGTTTTCAAAGACCTAAAGCTGAAATGAATATTGGATGTGGAATTTCTAAATTTATTCCAATATCAATCATTCAACAAGATAATAATTCTTATATTTGTGATGATTCAATCTATATTAAAGTAATGGTTAGAAAATATCCTATACCAACATATATTTTACCTTATATTATGAATATTGATCCTGCATTACCAACGCATATTCAAGAAATCATTGAAAACAAAATTCAAAAAAACAAAATACAACCATTGAAACTTACTTTAACATTAAAATCATCATCAACATAGAACTAAAAAAATAGTTTGTTAATATAACTTTGTAGATTATTGTAGTTTTGTATAATTATTCACGAATATATTATATTCAGTCTTATTTTAAAAAGTATATATTTGATATAAATAAAAGAAACAATATAATCTGTGTTGATAAATGATATAGCATTGGCTATATATTAAGCAGAAGTATATCATATAAATTAAATGTTCGAATAATTTCAATAGTATCATGGAGTTAATTTTAAATTCTGAATATTAGACGTAATTCGTTCAAGAGGTAAAGAACATCATTGTTTGCATTTCGAAATACTGTTGCAATTTTAGTATATAAAAAGTTTAGCCTCATCTGTCATTGAATCCATGTTGCCAACATTTCATCAAGATCAACGGTTCGAACAGTTTATTTTTTTTATAAATTGTCTATCAAATTAATATTTTCAGCCTTGAAGAGGTCGATTTCAACGCTAAAAAAAGTACATTTTAAATACATCATAATATAGTGTCTGATGACGTCAAAATATATCATTGGTGATCAAGTCATCTAACTAATAATTATTTTTGTGGCGCCATCTTTAATAACTATGATTTACTGACGATTTTCGAACAGTTTCAATGACATAAAAAGTTATACATTGTAGAATCTGAACTTATAGAAAAACAGAAGACAAACGATCAGATTTTGTACGACAGAATGCTAATAGTAAACCTTTCAATGTGTCCAAATTTTTAGACTGGAAAAATTCATAGAAGCAATGAAGAATGAGAACTTTAGCCACTTTATCTTATATCGACCATTGACTATAGGAGTGCATGAGTGTGGCTAAAGCGATAATAAATATTCAAAGCCATCCCCACACTCGATTTGCTTCAATTAAAATCAAAATAATTCCATAATTAGATTCGATTGTAATTTAGCTAATCATTTTTTCGAAACGAAATTGTTTGTTGTTTGCCCATTGATTGGAGAAGAAGCAACAATATGTAACGAAAACAATAAAATAAAGCACGTAATTATTTCTCTTCTATTGCTAATTTTTAATCTACAGTAGCAGAGTACCACGCTAAATTTGAAAGAAGCCAAAGTATATACAACTTTCATATAGGTAATCGATCGAACTAAAACGATTGAAAACGTGCACGTTGAGACAGTGGAAGTATGTCTATCATTTAGGTAACACAACTGATTTGTCGGTTTCAACTCAGGCATCATTGAGATTTATTGGTTAGACATTCAACTGAGTTCAATGCAGTCGGCAATGAAGAGTATCATTAAATTTTAGATACAAGAAATCATACATCCATAATAAACAATTAATTCTTAGAGTCCGTATCACTTTCTCAAGATACAAAATTCGACTAAAACGTCGATTAAAAAGTTTGCCAATAGATAGCATCTATTAAACATTCCATCTCATCTCATCTCATAGAGGTGCATGTAACTGAGTATGGTACTTTTTGATTCTTCACCATAAGAAAGAGCATCTAATAAAAGTAGGTTCATGCGAAGTAGGAGAAATTGAAATAAAGTAAATTATGGATTTTCATAATCTAAAAACTAGAAAGTTGCTTGTTTCTATTTCAAATAATATGATGATTTGATATAAATGCATTGATGCCAAACGCTAATCAATATTTAATAGACATTTTTAAAAATTTATGGTAGGTTCGAGTGTGAATGAAGGAAAAACTCACTCACGTTCATAGCCGTCGATTATAAAAATCTTCCTCAACGAATTTATTGAGAAAAACAACCTTTGTATTATGGAAATCAGTCAAAATATTAACAACTTGATGAAATAATTATTTATAAATACTTGATTTGCCTTGAGAAGCCTAATTACTATAATCAGAGAAAGCATATACTTATATAGCTGCAGGTGTAGATAAATATAGATTTGAGTTTGAGTCTTTTTTACATCCATACACATCATCTGCACCGGTAGATCATTCACAAGCATATCGAATCTTACAGTTCGATGCCTGCATTCTTCAATTTTAGACTTCATACTGAGAGCTTTCTTTAGAACGAAATGCATGCATTTATTAGAAAATCTCTTAATACCTAATTAACAATGATAACGACGATTCAAATAGACAAAAAGTAGAAAGTCTAAGGTAAACGTTGGAACTTGTTATTGCAATCAATGATATGATAACTCAAAGTAGTAATTCTTGATCATCAAGAAAAAATTTTCTGATCGATATTAATGATATTTGAAAAATGTTTCAGTTCCATAGAATAATTTATTAACTGGTCATATATATGTCCTATTTCAAAATATACTGATATGGTTGTCTCAAAATTGTTCGCATAAAATTGATCATAAAGGATGCAGGTATGAATGTTGGTTTTGAATGTGAGTGAACATGAAGAGATAACTTTCTCCCACCTACACCCATCATCAACATCTCACCCATCCACGCACATCCGTACTCTATTTTTTGAAAAATTATAAATGAAGTACATGTATTATTTGATGAGAAATTATCATTTAATTTTTCTCATTGTCAAAACATAGCGTGTTCTTGTTAGTGCATTGAAAGAATTATAAAGCAATTTGCAAAAACATTCACATAGTCTTACGCTTGAAACTGTTGCTTGTTAATTCATTGAAATCAATTAATGTCATTGTTGCAGTAATGATAACTATTAAGAGAACCATTTTCAAAATTGCCCTACAAGGAAACTTTTGAATTTTTCTCATTTATATCAATGAATGTCATAAGAAAAAATACCTCTACCTATTTCGATTACCTTACGATATAAGGTGCTGCATAGAACTAGTTTTATCAGTTCGATATTATCGTCCTTACAACTGATAGTAACTGCAGCTCTATAAATCAGACTGGCTCAATACAAAACTCTCTCGCTCAATCGTTTGAACTTCACAAATACACTGACTAATTACATAATAGTGGCAAGTTCTCATCGATGTCACAACGTAGTCAGCATGCTATCGAAATGATGATTCGAGACAACCAGTAATTCATGGCTTACTTAAGTTAATTTCATGATCGATGTTTCTGATAAATCATAAACGATAAAATGTTCTTCAACTTTCTCTAAAATAATCTAGTTTACTCTTCGAAATGACATAAAAAGTAAAAATCTATTGATAACTACAGTTATTATAGTTGATCATTAACAAATAACTGTAGTGCAATAAATTCACAATTTATTATTAATAGAAACGAAGAGTCAAGTATGATTGGTATGTTTAATAACGTTATAATATCTCATGATAATATTTTGTTATGTTGCAATAATATTGAGAACAAAAAGGGGTAAAGTATTTGTTTTCTTTTATTCTTTGGCAAAACGAGTTATGATAGAAAAAAAATGTAATTAATGCTTTTTTTTTCATTCTGCATATAAGCACTGATAGATAAGATAGGTATGCGCACATGAAAAAAAACAACATCAACAGTAATAGAATAACATAAAATGACTGAAGCTCAAACATCGTTGCCTATTATTGATATAGGCCCATTGCTCCTTAATGATTCAAATGATATTCATCAACAAGAAACTGCTGCACAACTTCATCAGGCATGTCGTACCTGGGGTTTTTTCTATGTTAAAAATCATGGTATCCCCATGAAATTACAGGAAGAATTAATTGAATTTAGTCGAAAATTTTTTTCATTACCATTAGAAAATAAAATGCAAATAGCAATGAGTAAAGGTGGTCGAGCTTGGCGTGGTTATTTTCCCGTTGGTAATGAATTAACAAGTGGAAAACCAGATGGTAAAGAAGGTCTTTATTTTGGTACAGAAATTGATGATGATAATCATCCAAAAGTTCATAATAAAGTACCATTACATGGACGAAATCAATTTCCTCCTATTGGAGATGATGAAAATGAATTTCGTCATGTTATATTAACTTATATGACAACTATGGAAAATCTTGGCCGAATAATAATGTCTGGTCTTGCACGTTCACTTAAATTAGATGCAAATTTTTTTGATAAAAATTATTTTCTTAATGAACCCACTTGTCTATTTCGTATATTTAATTATCCAGCTTCATTTTGTCAACAAAAAGGAAATGAAAATTTATGGGGTGTTGGTGAACATACTGATTATGGTATGTTAACAATTTTATTACAAGATAATATTGGAGGTTTACAAGTGAAAATTAATCATGATAAATGGATAGACGCACCACCAATACCTAATACATTTATATGTAATATTGGTGATATGCTTGATAGAATGACAGGTGGATATTATAAATCAACACCACATCGTGTACGTAATTTATCACCATCGCATGATCGATTATCATTTCCATTTTTTCTTGATCCTAATTGGGATACTCAAGTATTACCTATACCTATGGAAGGAATAACAACAGTAGATGATGATGCTGAACATCGATGGGATAAAGCAAGTGTGCATACATTTTCTGGAACATATGGAGACTATTTATTGAAAAAAGTTAGCCGAGTATTTCCAAATCTTGCTGAAGAACAAACTATTATTGGAACGAATTCATATTAAATTATTTATTCATCAAACATTTTCTTTGCTAATAATTTTATACACATTATTTAAACTTCGATAATTGAAATATAGTTATGTTTTGTTTGTTTCAATACACTTAAAAATTTCGAGCAGTTTCATCTTAATCATTGTATTATAAAGAATGATCCTTACCTAACAATATCTATATAAACTTTGAGTACCTAGAATGATGTTTTACGTAAGATTATCTATTTTAATAATAGTGTTATAAAGAAAAGAAAGGTAATAATTAAAATCTTGAAATCGACTTGAAGTTTTTTAAACGATATTCTAATGAACAAATGTCCATCGTGTGTAACATAACACACTTTACAAAGTGATATCTAATATTTAGATCGCTTCTCTAACAAATATTATGAGCAACTATTGGCGTCATCATTTAACTTATATGCAAAATTTTTGAAAGAAGTGGATTTTAAAAGAATTTATAAAGTTTGCAAAGAATATGTTCTACTTCAAGACAGTCAAGATTTAAAACATAGAACAACGATTTATGTTATAAACTCATTGATGAATTATTTATTGCAAGAGTTCTACCCTAAGATAGAGATACGAAATTTCCGATTGTGTGACCAGTTGAAAATGTATGCGAGATTATTTTCTGTTGTTAGATTAACATGTGCTTCTACTAAATAAAATATATTTTGTTTTTGATTTTTAAAACTGATGCCGATCAATTTCGAGATTTTAATTATCACATTTCTTTCGTTCATGTCACTATTATAAAAAGCCGATGATGTTATTTGAAATATCGTCCTATAAGTATATGAAGCTCATATAGATATTGTTGAGACCTAGTATTTATGGGACTGTTTGTATATATAGAGAGAATCAACATCATATTCTGTTTGCAAGCCTACTGTTGTAGATATATGAAGGAGAAATTGCATCAAACATGACTATACAAACGGTAATATCGGAACAAAATATTGATGATTGCTCTTTAGAAGTTTCGTCTTTCTTGATAAAAGAAGTTTTAGTCAGTTCAAGTGAAATATTCATGGATAATAGAATGCAATTGATTACTTTTATATGTATTTTTGTTTATATTAAATTCAGTTTATTCATATTTGAGCTTAGTATCAAATGACAATGATTATGTGAAGCATGTGAAAAAATATCAATAACCAGCGACATCTTGGTGACTATAAAAGACCTATATTCTCAATATTTCAACAAATCAGATATATATTAGAACGAAAATATGTACAGTATATTCTGATTTTTTATCTTTATATACGAATAAAGACATAAAAAATGAAGACTCATTAAATTTTGATTGGTCGTTATGAATTTACCAACACCTGGTTCTTTGTTTATTGAATTCGGTTTGATAATGTATTGAGTGAATCTCTTCGCTAATTCTTTTATCGATTAATGGAGGCAAATCATGTCTTACACAGCGGTTATTTTAATGAAACCCTTCGTTCATGGCATGGTTCAAATACATTACTGAATATAAATCAATTAATCTATCCAGTATTTGTTACTGATCTTGTCCCAGATGAATCGAGCGAAGAAATTCCTAATTTTCCTGAACAACGCCGTTATGGTGTCGATGCCCTCATTGATCATTTATCACCATTGGTTAACAAAGGTTTAAAAACAATTCTTATATTTGGTGTAACAAAAAGTTCAAATAAAACCCCAACTGGTGAATATGCATTATCAAAAGAATCACCTGTTCGACGATGTTTACCAATGCTTCGTTCAAAATTTCCATCATTAACCATAGCTGTGGATCTTTGCTTATGTGGTTATACATCACATGGCCATTGTGGAATACTTAAAACCGATGGTACAATTAATAATCTATCATCAATTGAACGTTTAGCTGAAATAGCACTTAATTTTGCTCAAGATGGTGCACATATTATAGCTCCATCCGATATGATGGATGGACGAATAGATGCAATAAAAAAAATTTTATTAACTAATAACATAGGAAGTTCAGTTGCAGTTATGTCTTATTCTTCAAAATTTGCTTCATGTTTTTATGGTCCATTTCGTGATGCTGCTCAATCAGCACCATCATCAGGTAATCGTCGTGCTTATCAATTACCTGCTGTATCTACTGGTCTTGCTATACGAGCTGCTGAACGTGACGTTATTGAAGGAGCTGATATGTTAATGGTTAAACCAGGTGGCCCTTTCTTAGATATAATTAAAGAAGTTAAACAACGTTTTCCTCATCATCCATTAGCTGTTTATCAAGTATCAGGCGAATATGCAATGTTATGGCATGCAGCACATGCGAATGCTTTTGATTTACGAGCAGCAGTTATTGAAAGTTTAATTGGAATGAGACGTGCTGGTGCCGATATTCTTATCACTTATTTTACACCACAACTTCTTGATTGGTTGAAAGAAGCTCAACAATATTAGTCTTTTTTTTATCATATATCTTTATCCCTCATTTTTTGCCCCGTGTGATTTTTATCTACCTGTTTTGATATGTCACGAACGAATTTTGATTTTTTTTCGTTCGTGTCTGGTTTAAAAAATATTGACCACAATTGTCATTGATTTAATTTTTATGAATTAAATCTTATAGATTAATCATCATCTGTTTTTGTTTTGTGGAAATTCATGTCTAATCGACAACAATCACGTGGACGTGGACGTGGGGGTGGTGGTGATCGAGGTAAAAAAACGTGATTATAAAAAAAGGATTTTTACTTTTGTCTTTTATTCTAGGCGGTGGTGGTGGTTTCGGATTTGGAAATCGTGGTGGTAAACGTGGGGGTGGACAAGATCGAAGTCGAGGTAGTTTTCAAGGTAGAAATCGAGGTGGTTTTCAAAGTGGAAATCGAGGTGGTTTTCAAAGTGGAAATCGAGGTGGTTTTCAAAATGGAAATCGTGGTGGTTTTCAAAGTGGAAATCGTGGTGGTTTTCAGAGTGGAAATCGTGGTGGAGGAAAATTCGGCGATATAAAACGTGAATTTATGACAGATAGTATTTATGTTGGTCAATTACCTGGTGATATTAAAGAAAATGATTTGAAAAAACTTTTTCCAAAAGCAAAAAATGTAACATTAACTCCAGCTGAAGGAAACAGACCTGGGTAAATTTTTCTTCTAATTCGTTATTTTTTAAATTTGATCAATTATTGTTTTTTTTTAGTCATGCTTTTCTTTCGTTTCCGGATGATGCTTCAGCATCAGCTGCTGTTAAACAGGGAGCTAGTTTTAAAAATACTCAACTTAAAGTAGCCTTTCAAACTAAACGAGCTGAACCACAAAAACGATCGTCAAATACCAATGATAATTCAGGTAATCATTTATTTCGAAATCAAACACAAAATATATAAAATGATGCTCGTCGCCATAAAATTTAGATTAAGACATGTTAATAGAAACTAGAGCTTATCCCGCTCAAAATTTTCAGACTCGAAGTCGATGGACCGTGATGAAAATAATAATTGATTACTTGAACTTTGCTTTTGGATGAATGTATTTGATAAATTCTTAGTATATGGAGTGATTCATAAGTAGATTTACGATAGAAAATTTAAGTATCTCCAATCTATGCGACTAAGTCTTTTTTCATGAGAACTTTGTAACTTTATAGGTCATAACATGAATCTAAAATTTTGAAATATATTTTTTCCGAATTTTGATGGAAATCAGCATCAACATCTATAGTCAAATTACCGCTCGGTTTCACTATATTGTACTGAAGAAGACACAGGTATCTATATCGGCAGTGAGAGAGAGAAAACAATTGCACAACGAGATATACAATCGAATATAGCTATCGAAAGACGAATGCATGCATACACAGATCCGTTATGGCCATCTTTAACATTGTGAATGACAGAAATTTGTTATGAAAAAAAAAATTAGCTCTATAAAGTATAGATATTCAGATTTTTTATCGTGAAGTTACTTATGGACCACCCTATAGTATAAACTTTGATATGTTCATCATGTTTTTGAAATAAATAATACATAAAACCTTTAATTGCAAATAGGTCCAAAAGCGAAAAAACTCAAAAGTGATACATCTGAAGGAAAAGGTTTGGCAGCTAATAATAACATGCAAAGAAAAGGAAAAATATCCGTCGACTCTGATGAAGATGATGACGATGATGATGAATCTGTAAGTAACGGATATCGCTTGTTGAAATCATGACGATAATGTATTTAAATATTTGTTTAGATAGATTTTGATACCGAAGATGATTCAGATGATGAATCGGATGAAGATGATGAACAACAAAAAAAAATTAAACAAACTGTTGCTAAAATGGTTGGTGGAGGAAAATCGGTACCTTCAAAATCAGCAGCTGGTAAAAAAGTTGAAGATGACGATGATGAATCGGTATATATTGATTTTAATGTGAACCTTTTACTTATAATATTCTTTCAGGATGACGATGATGATGATGACGACGACGACGATGATGATGTAAATATTTAATGATTTTATCTTTAAAACATAAAATCTGCTTTTGTTGTAGGAAGAGGATGAAGATGAAAAACCATCTAAATTACAAAAAACTCCACCACTATCATCTAAACAACAGACTTCAACTATCATTCAAGCTAAAACAGAAGGCAAATCACCACTTACTAAATCACCTGTGATCAATAATTCATCTGAAAAGAAAAAAAAGCCTGGTGTGTCAATATTACTCAATTTATCATTTATATTACATTCGAATTATTTCTAGATCAAAAAACAGCTTCTGATATACCAACATTATCCAAGCCTCCAAAACGATCAGTGGATTTTGCTGATAAATCAAGTTAGTTTTTTTTTGTTATTTGTAGAATTATGGCTTTACTGCATTCTTGTAGGTCCTCAAGCAAAAAAACTTAAGATTGATACTTCAACGCGTGGTAAAAATATTCCTGTAGTAAATAAAAATGTTTTGAAAGGGAAAGGAACTAAATATGATGAGGATAACGATGATGATGATGACGACGATGACGACGATGATGACGATGACGATGATGATGATGATGATGACGATGATGAAGAAGAACAAACAATTAAGAAGCCTGTAGCTAAGCAATCTGTTACTGGAAAACAAGTGAGTTTGAACAAGAGTATTAATCAAAGTAGTCATTGAAACTTGTAGGTTAAACCTGTCCCCAAACAATCATTTTTCGAAGAAGATGATGATGACGACGACGATGATGATGATGATGATGATGATGACGATGACGATGATGAAGAAGAACAAACAATTAAGAAGCCTGCCGTTAAGCCATTTGCTACTGGAAAACAAGTGAGTGTGAACAAGAATATTAGTCAAAGTAATCCTTCAAATTTGTAGGTTAAACCTGTCGTCAAACAAGCATTTTTCGAAGATGATGATGATGATGACGACGAAGAAGAACAAATACCTAAGAAGTCTGTCATTAAGCCACCTGTTACCGGAAAACAAGTAAGTTTTAACAATGACTCTACTCAAATTAATCATTGAAGGTTCTAGACTAAACCTATCCCAAAGTCGTCCTTTCAAGGTGATGATGATGAATCAGTAAGTCGAGAAGCAAAAATAAACTTTGCATCAATAGTATACAATAGAGTTCCTTGTAAGGCACCATCGAAAATCGATACTGGCCTAAATACATTTAAATCACAGGAAATTTTCAGTCCTATATCATAATTTTTTCGGCATATATTCTATTAAAAAGGATCTAAAATAGCTCATTTGGTAACCTGAAATTCTCTGTGATCCTTCAGTGTACAGATTTAATCTTTTTAAGAATGCAGAGCATGACAGAACCTTTTTGTTTAATATCTTCCTTTTCAAGCGGAGAGAAGCTCAATGTCTCGAAAGACTCTCAAAAATGACGCTTTATTTATAAAAGTAGTCTGTCATATAATAGTGTAAAAGCCATTGACTACAGCGAAGCTCCTTTGAGAATTCTGGGCTGCATGATCGAAAAAACCAGATTTTTCAAGTGCAAAAACGATGAAAAATTTATGAAAAAAAAAACAAATTGCGAAATAAAAAAAGTCATGTCAGTTATGGAAGGTCAGAGCTTGGACTATCTCACATTTATATATCTCGATTTTCATGTTTTTCACAAAAATCAACTATTTTTGAGGATGAGGCCTCAATTATGAGTCTCCTGGTGCATCCCATGAAAGTCCTATAAGGACTGTTATAGAATTTAGTTTCCAGTTTTACCAAAATTGAAGTCAAAATACTCCTGAACATTTATACTCTCCATATTACAATAATCACTGTTCGTTTTTCAGCATGGTGATGATGATGTAAAAAAACCAACAAAATCCATCCTCAAAACAAAACTTTTGTCAAAAGAAGTAAGAGAAAATCAAAATAGTTTTCTCAAACAAATCATTCTAACTTTTAGACTAAATCTACTGCTAAAACGCCATCATCTTCCGAAGATGATGATGATGACGATGACGATGATGAAGAAGAAACACAGAAAAAGTCTGCCATCAAACCATCATCTACTGGAAAACCAGTGAGCTTAAAGGAATGACTACCTCTTAATTGTTGACTAATATGTTTAGATGAAAAATGCTGTCAAAACATCTTTTGCTCAAGATGATGATGATAGTGATGATGACGATGACGACGACGATGATGATGATGACGATGACGATGAATCAGTACGTAGAAAAGCTAAAAGAACTGTATCAAGGTTCTACAATAGAGTCTCATTTAATCATGATTCTGCTTCTGATACCAATCGAAGTTTTACCAAATCTCTAGTCAAAATACACTTGATGGTATAATAACTACTGTTCTTTTTTCAGGACGACGATGATAATGTAAAAGAACCAACAAAATCTATCTTCAAATCAAAACCGTCTTCAAAACAAGTAAAAACCAATCAAAATATTTTTTTTCTCAAACAAGTCATTTTAACCTTTAGACCAAACCGCCACAAGCTTTTGAAGATGAAGACGACGACGATGATGATGATGATGTAAGTTAGTTACTTTCTTTTTGGACATCAGCTTCTCATTTATTAATACAGGATGATGATGATGATGATGATGATGACGATGATGATGATGTAAGTTAAAATCATATATTTGCTTTTTGTTCAAAACTAAATTTTTACAGGATGACGACGAAGAAGAAACTGCTTCGCCACCACTTAAATCTGGATTAAAGCAATCATCATCAACTCCTACTACTCCGAAACAAAATCAAACATACAAAACGACAGCATCTGAATCTAAACCAACACCAGTACAAAATAAACAAAAAGGTGGAAGTGAAGCAATCAAGCAAGAAACTTCAACTAAACCACTTAATAAAACTCAATTGTATATAAATTCAATAAAAGAAAGTATTACTGTATCGGATATGAAATCTCTCTATCCAAACGCAAACTCAGTTAAAATGCAAAAACGAAAAGTTGGTCCAAATCATAAAATAATGCAGTATGTTTTGATCTATTAAAATTTTAAATTCCAATTATTTTTGTATTTTTCTTAGAATTGCTTTTGTTACATTTGAAAACGAATCAGATTGTAGTGATGCATTAAAAGCTCATACACATATCGGTGGTGAAAAAGTTAATATATTTTATGCATTTGCAAAACAAGATAAACAAACAAAACCAACAGCTACTGATTCAAATAAAAATTTGGAAAAGAAAAAACAAACAACACCAACAGAGAATACAAATAAAAAACAACAAACTAAACCAGGTTCATGTCGAACATGACTCTTTTCTTCTTTATTTATTATGTTCGTTTTTCATAGAAATGCAAACTTTAACTGATTCAATATATGTTGGTCAATTACCTGAAAATGTTGAAGAATCTGATTTAAAAAAACTTTTTCCAAAATCAACTAAAATCGAATTAATTCCAGCTAAAACAAATAAGACAGGTGTTCGACCCGCTTTTGCTTTTGTTACTTTTCCTGATGATAATTTAGCAGCTGCTGCTATTAAACTTGGTTCATCATTAAAACTTAAAAATACACAATTAAAAGTTGCTTATCGAACAAAACGAACAACACCAACCGCAAGTGACTAATGAAGGATGTTTTTGTTATCTTCATTTATTGAAGATAAAATACGAATGTGTTCATTGAAACTGTCTCTGTATTCTTTTTTTTTAATCATACTTACTGTGTTATACGTTCTTGGAAATAAATAATCATTATAGAAACATTATTAATTAGAAAGAAAGTTCTTTACATAAATTATATATACATGAATACGGAAAAATGATGATAATAATGACAATTTAGATTGCTGTATTATTACTAGATTACCTAAATATTCGATGACATATAGAAGACTTCAACTTTTCGTTTTTTTTTTCTGAAAACTTCGTGATATGAAGCCAAAAATGAAAAAAAATCATCTACCTTATTTATTATAATTCTTATATATAAAGAAATGCTTTACTTTCGAGTTTTCAATTATTTTCATTTTGAATTCTAAGCATAGCACATAAGTCGTTTGTCATCAGAAACCATCAGAGATATGTGCTTGGATTTTATTATTGTGAATCTCGCAGTTAAATGACAACAGTACTTGCCTATGATAGGTAGTAAAACACGAGAAAATTTATTATTAATCTAGATATGCTGTATTTATTTCGACAAAATCAGTTAATAAATTATTCATCAGGACCAAACAAGTCAAAAAATTAATATTCGTTGTATTCAAAGTATAAAAAGATCCTCAGAAAAAAAATTAATCAGGCATTTTAATCAGATTGATTTCTGTTATTTTAATATGGATTTTAGTCATAGCGATAAATGAAAAAAAAATATGAATCTACCAGTAATACTGACGGTTACAGTCCGACAAATTGAGGCTATATGCTATGCGTAGTATTAAGCAATAAATGTGTTCAATTAATCTTTGTTGTATCTCGATACAAAAGATCAGATTAAATGTGACAACATATAATATGAATTAAAAGGTCTGATTTTATCAGTTAAAGACTTCTAACCGTCAAAATGCCAAAACATGTGAAATAAAATTGAATTTTATACGGAGTACGGAGAATTTCGCTTATAACAGTCCATTCTTCTTGTGAACTTTGTTGTTTTTTAAATTTTGAAGTGGTTAGAATCAAAACAGCAACAAAAGTTAGCTGCCAGTCTATTCAATAAGCTGTTTTTGTTCATTAGAGTTGTGAAAACAGCTAACTATAAATAATGAATCATATAGATAATTCGATGATGAATCGGTAGTATTTTTTAGAAATAGGCTTTTACGCGTTGATTGAGCTATCATAGTGATGAACTTCGCAATAGTTACTTTACATATCTTTCAGATTTTTATTAGGTGATCAGTCGAACCATAAATTTTAGGATTCACAGGTACAGTAAAAACGCTGATTCCAGTGAAATGTAAATATCGTTATGAAAAAAATGATGTCTGACAAATCGTGAAGTCGATTATTCGTTCTTTGCAAAAATCGAGATTTCATGCTTCGCACTTTATTTCGTATTTGAGTGAAAATCAAATGCCATCTAGTTGTATAAGTAAGATAGACAAATATAGTACAAACAATAAATACGCAAGAAATTAGTAAGTATCTTTTTTTCATTTAGATATTGCTGACAACAAGATAGAAAAAAAAGACTACTAATAATCCTCGAGATCGGAACTATATTTGAACTTGTCGATCTTAATCAAGATACTGATATGTCATTTGCAATTCTAGTATGTTGTCTTGAAAACGTATTTACGCATGTATGGACTCATCTAACAAGAGCAACTTGCTTTCGCTTAGAATTTCCAATTTTAAATATAATCGATGACATTGCTACAACCAGATATGTTGGAATGAAATAATGCACGCGAAAGAATTTCTTGTATAAATTATCAATGATTACTTGAATTAATGTTTCATATAAGGACAGGATCAATAAATGAATTAACCATTCAGAAATTTCGCAAGAGTAATATGAGTTTGCTATGAAATCAGTTCATATTCTCTGAACAACTCATATTCAATGTTCTTGATGCTTTAAAGAACGATCTAGATAATCCTTCTTAATAACTATATTCGTTTTGTTTGTTGAAATCATTTTTATTGTTGTTATTCGTTATATTTCAATATTCTTATTTGAATTCGTTTTATAATTCTTGTTAAAAGTCATTTGCATATATATTATAAAGTTAGTGAAAAACAAATGAGAAAGAAAAAGATCAAAAAGACATATACGAAAAAAAAAAGAAAAGCAGAGTATGAAATTTTTTGTGTTACTAGATAGAAAACATTACAAACGTTCCATCATCATATATAGTAAAAGACAAAACAAATATGATTAAAATCTCAATTTTTATTCTTTTTTTATCCTCGAAATAAGAACTATCCTCTATTAAAATATTTCCTTCGAATTTTTTATTACAATCATCAAAACATAATTCAATATCTATTGTGTTTAATAAGCACAACAATTCTAATGTTTTTATTTTCTCATCAAATTTATGCTATCTTCTTTTCTCACTTAAATAACACTTATAACATTATTTTCTATTGCAGACAGAGTCTGTCGAATCCAAATCATGCTTTAATATTTCTCAATGAAATTCTCTAATCGAAATTAGACAGTCGTCCTGAAGATAAAAGTTACTTTTTTCCGACTTTTTGTATTCGATAACTAGAGCACCCAACACATTTCTCAGATTATTCGAGCCCATCAGATTTGAAAACAATGCAACGAGCACTAATTTTGATTGAAAGCCAACTTTTGCTCTACTCATTGAGGCGTATCTTCCTAAAATCAAAAGTGTCACAAAGGAGATTCCCTTAAAGTTTGCTTTTTTTTACAACAGAAAATCATACTCATTGATTATAAAACTGTCACAAAAATAGATGTATTTCTTATTGTTCTACATTATTTTATTAAATTTAATATCATTAATCTTTCAATTTCTTATGTTTGTTGCAATCACTTCATGGCTTTCATATATAAGTTGTAAAGTAGAATCAATATCTTATGATATTCCATGGAGACCATCTGTTGATTCCAACGGCATTATCATAGCTATGAATTGCTAACAGACGACGTAAGAAGACGAAAAGAAAAGATTTTATTTCATTGGTGAACTACTCTATCCAATTATTAGTCGTAACTGAATCATCTGACATCTATTAATAGTCAAATAAAATAACATTTATAGTTTATTCATTTGAGATTCAACAAAATGCCACCTCCAGCAACAACAACATCGGCTAAGACAGCTGGTGATGAACAAAATTCAAATGAAAATGGTTCATCACTAGATAAAAATCTTTCATTAACAATATCTCCATTAAATAAAATTGAGAAAGTTGTTGTTCATCCACTTGTTCTTCTTAGTGTTGTTGATCATTTTAATCGTATGGGTAAAGTAGGAAATTCACAACGTGTTGTGGGAATATTACTTGGTTCACTTAAAAATAAAATTCTCGATATTTCAAATAGTTTTGCTTGTAAGAATTTTGAATCTATTATTTTTCTTATGATTTTTGTGTTTTTTTTCGTTTCTTAGTACCATTTGATGAAGAAGAGAAAGAAAAAGAAGTTTGGTTTCTTGATCATGAATATTTGGAAAATATGTATACTATGTTTAGAAAAGTTAATGGTAAAAAAGAAAAATTTTGAAATTTTTATATTAATGAAATTTTCGAAATTTTAGCTCGTGAACGTATTGTTGGATGGTATCATACAGGTCCAAAATTACATCGAAATGATATATCAATAAATGAATTAATTCGAGAATATCATCCTGATTCAGTTCTTGTTATCATTGATGCTAAACCAAAAGATTTAGGTTTACCGACGGAGGCTTATATTGCTGTTGAAGAAATTCATGATGTAAGAATTTTGTTTTATCTTTAAAAATTATTAATTTGAAGATTTTTTTTTCATAGGATGGTAGTCCAGCATCAAAAACATTTGAACATTTACCATCAGAAATAGGTGCAGAAGAAGCTGAAGAAGTTGGTGTTGAACATCTGCTTCGGTATGTTAATAACAGTAATTTCACTTGAGAAATCCTTTAATCCTTTCCGGCCGGATGTTGTCAAATGACAACATTTTCCCCTATAGGGGTACGGCATTTTTTAAATAGTCAGCCGGAAAGAGTTAACCAATAAATTACTATTAAATCAAGACTGTGTGCATTATGTAAACCCAAATGAGCTATGAATACCCTAAACAGAGTTTGCAACCTTAGCTAATTGCTGGGGAGCTATTGAATTTTTTTAAATGAATGTCGTGATAATAGAAAAACTGATTTCCGAATTTCAATTTGAAAATTTGCAAAGAACACGCCTTAATGTGAATGTTTCAGATCTTATCGCTGTTCCTATTCTAAGATATAACTATGATAATTGCATGTCTTTTCCATCGTTCATATAAACCAATAGAATTAATGTTCTTATTTTAGGATAGAAGCAAATCAAAAGATCTGAAACTTCGACAATAAACTATTTTTGTTAAGGCCTATCTCTATAGAAATTTTCAAGTCGAAATTTAAGAATGTGATATCTTCACAGCAATAAACTATGAGTATGAACTCTTTTTTAGACTACTTATAGATCATTTGAGTCTACAAAGTGCGTATAGTCTTGACTCAAAAACAATTTATCAGTTGAAGAATTCCTTGATGAGTATCTTATCTTTTTCTTTTATCTGAAAAAAAAATGTTCGTCATAACACATCGAATTCACATCTGAACACTTAATTTAATGTAAACAAGGAAATAGCAGATAGTTTCTCTTGCAAAAGACTTGTAATCTTTTCTATTAAACTCAATAGAGATTTAATAAATTAAATTTTCTGTAGGGTTTGATACAAATTTTTGTTTTCGAAAAGTCATTGTATCTGTCAAGAAGTTCAATAATTTTTCTTGATCTTTTATTAATTCTATTATGTCTAAAATTGATCTTCTGGTAGCCACTTGTGTAAATGTCTATCGACTTGTAAACAATTCTGAAAGAATAATCTCTCAAATATAAGAACAATTTTTTTTGTTCATCAAACAGAATTTTCAATATTGGTATCTGAATATTGCAGACTACTAGAAAATCTAATACATTTACAATAAATTTGTCTCATTGAAAATTTTATTTTGTGCAAAATTTAAAACCAAATATTCATTTTAAACATGCATCTGAGTGAATCCACGACATTGAATTGGAAAACTTACTAAAATAGTCATAAGTTACAAAGAAAGATCTAGAGACACGAATTTTTTATTTGATTATTCTTCGCATAATAAATCCTATGTAATGAAATAAGACACATGTCAAAATTAATTTATCATTTAACAAGACTTTAAACGAATTATAGTTATAGATCTGAGATGTCCATGAGGGAAGACATTTTCTTAGAACTTCTCGAAAATCGTCACGATAGCCAATTGGTTTCTTGCAGTGATGAATATCTATGATACAGATAAAACTTAAGAAATTCTATCAATTTTTTTTAGTGATATTCGTAATGCAACAGTCGGTACATTATCACAACGTATAACAAATCAATTAATGGGTCTTAAAGGTTTAACAAAAAGTTTATATGATATTCGAGCATATCTTGATAAATTATTGGCTAATAAATTACCACTTAATCATCAAATATTATCTCATATTCAAGATATATTTAATTTATTACCCGATGTAACACAACAAGATTTAATAAAATCAATTTATGTTAAAACAAATGATGAAATGTTACTCGTCTATCTTTCATCATTAATTCGCTCAATCATAGCATTACATAATTTAATTATGAATAAAATTCAAAATTCGGATGCTGAAAAAGCAGATAATGCACCACCAAATACAACAACAACAACGACAACAACAGCAACTGCTGGTGATAAGAAAACAGAAAAAGGAAGCGGTGATAAACCAACAACAAATGGCAACCTCTAGTTAAAAAAAAGCACCTTTTTTTTTTATTGTTCTTTTCTTTTATCTTGAATAAACTTGAGCTCGAGAGAGACGAAAAACAAGAACCTATTACATAGTCGATTTTCATAGAGAGAAATTTTCAAGGTAAAACATTAACAGTTTATATTTCTAGACACAAAACAATGACTATGAAATTACGTGTTATTACACTAAATATTTGGGGTGTACATTATGTGGCAAAACTTATTGACAAGCGTATCCAAGCTTTAATTAATCATTTAATTAGTCCTGAAGGAAGTTATGATATTGTTGGATTACAAGAAGTAAGTCTAAATAAGGAATAGAAAATAAATTTATTATAATTTTTTGTTATTTAATAGGTATGGAGTAAAACAGATTATCTTTATATACGTGATCAAATTAAAATTATTTATCCGTATAGTTATTACTTTTTAAGTGGTCTTATTGGTTCAGGTTGTTGTATGTTTACAAAATATCCAATTATTGGTGTTTATGAGCATCGATATACTTTGAATGGTAAGAAAAATTACGATAATTAGTATTTTTATTATAAATTTCTTATGAAATTAATAATTTATATACGAAATCGTTGTCAATGCTTTTTCGGTTTGGACTTTAATATTTATGATACTGATAACTATCGTTATTTGTTGTACTTTAGACATTACTCTGACACACTTGAAAAGGTAGAAATAAACAACAAGTGAAAAATCGACGTGTAACAGAAGTTTTGCTTAACCCTTTTGTGGTTGATTTTCCATGTATGAGATGATAGCATTAGTCCATTGAGACAGATATCAAATTGTACTTGAAGTTCAATGCGATACTAGAATCAAACGAGGGACAGACTGAAGACGATGAAGTTTTTGCAGCAAATACACATTTTTAATATAAAACTGTCAATATATCCCTATTGTCTGTTGGGTCATTGCAGAAGACCATCAATAGAAACGTCTGTGTGTACGATGACTTGATACTTTCTGTCAACAAATGCAAGAAATCCAATATCAGCTTACGCATAGCATCCTGTTTTGAGACCTATCATACAGTGTAATACTTTTAATAAAAATTATAGTAGAAAGAGGGCGATTCATTGTGTACTGAAACTTTAAGTCACGCAAGACTCTTACAGTCTGTAAGAAGGACTACTTTTACATTAATACGAACATTTTTTTCACCAAAAATAGCCCCACTGTGGAACATTTAAGAAAGTGTCTAAACATTACAGCAGCTTCCATAGTTACGTTCTTAGTGATAGATAGTTATTGGACAGCATGATGACTACTACACATATCAGTAAAACACTACAGTTTTGATTTCAATGTAAATCTACATACAATAATCATTAAAATTATTTAATAAAATTTATTTTCAATCTTTTTCTGATACCATCAACGTTAGAAAGAATTAAAATAGTAATTTCAATTAAGAAAGATAGTTTTTTAGCATCTAGACCCTGTAAAATTAATTTGGTTAGACTACATAGAATGATAGAGTAAAACGCATTCTACAAAAGGAGACAGTGTCGAATTCTCTGCAAGATTTTTGGCTAAGATAGCGCACTTTGATTGAAAGTTAAAAAGTAGTTTTTCTATACGACATTGAAAAACTAACGATTGTAGTGGCTTCCATAAGATTGCTGTATCTTAGCTAAAAAACATTGTCGATAACTCGAAGACATCTCATTTTGTCGGAAATTGTTTGCTGTATTGCTCACTAAATATCTCCAGAGATTAACATAAATAACTTCATCCAAATATTAGGATTTCTTTCTTTCTAATCTTTCGAGTATTATTGACATACAATCCGTTTTTTTTAGTATTATTTCATTCTTCTATTATGAAAAGGAGAAGTTAACGACAAAACTAAAATCATATAATACTTTTAGGCTTTCCACATAAAATTCAACATGGTGATTATTTTGCTGGTAAATTAATTTGTCTATGTAAAATTTTAATAAATAATCATGTAGTAAATGTATATAATACACATTTACATGCTAATTATCATCATGTTATACCAAAAGATATTTATTTGGGACATCGAATATGTCAAGCTTATGAATTAATTCAATTTATTGAAAGTACATCATCAGCGGATACAACACATTTAACAATTCTTTTAGGAGATTTAAATCTGACAACAGATGATTTAGGTTTTCAACTTATTCGAGGTATTCTTCAATTGAATGATTCGTTTCTTCAACGCATTAATAAAGTAAAATAAGATAAATAAATAAATAAATGAATGAATTTAATATTAAAAAAGAAAACGTTTTTTTTCTTAGGATATATTTGATCCAACTGTTGGTAATAATGGTTTAACATGTGATTTACTTGATAATCCATATGTTGTTCCATATCAACAACAAGGTCAAGGTGAACGTATTGATTATATACTTTATCGAGCACGAAATGGTTTGTTATTATTGTTATAATTTTCTTTCAAATAATTCAAACATTTAATTATTTTATGTTTTCTTAATAATAGATAATGTTAAATGTCTTGAAGCTTATCCAACATTACATAAAGTTCCGAATGATCCAAATAATCTTTATTATTCGGATCATTTAGCTGTTTATGCTTTATTTGAAATTGATGAAAAAGCTCCAGAAAAAATAATCAAACCACTTGAAGATGTTGAAATAGCTAATGAAGAGACAGGAGAAAAACTTCATTCGGCTTGTATTATTGTTGAAGAATCAATTCAACGTATACAACGTGAACGAATATTTTGTGCACTTTGCGTATTTATTCTTATTTTTATTTTATTTTCATTTAATGGAAATCCATTATCAAATAGTCATTTATATACAATGTTTACAATTTTTAAAAATCTTATTTGTATTATTGGTATAGCAATATGTATGTGGTTTATCTGTTTTGGTAAACCTGTCGAACGAAATGCTTTAAGTTCAATACAAAATGCAATGCGTTTACGTTTACGATTAGCACATTTTTCATATTAATCATTCCCTTCTTTGTTTATGTCATATATGCTTTATGAACACATAAAGGCAATATTTGTATATAGTTATAGTGAATAAAATTAATTGATCTATAAGCAAATGTCGAAAAAATTTTTTTGCCATGTTTCTCTAAGTTTCATATAACGAATTTCAAATAGATAAAGGATACCTTGAATGAATCTATACAAATCAATAGAAAAAGACTAATTTTTGCACTTGTGATCGTTCTTCGATGGCAGATTTTTCATGAAATGTTATGTTACGTTGGGCATAAGAATAAACTTCTAAGTTTTTTTCATAAAACTAAACACTTCTTCTAATTTGATTATCTTATCGCGTCATCAGAACAATGATTCTTGCGGAATAAATGATGCTTGATAACATATTTTATCAAATGACATTATTACAGAGTTTCATAAAAGAGTAAGATAATGAAAACTTCACTTTTATCATTTTTTTTATTAACCGCTTGAGAGTATTATTTACCTATTTGAAATACCTGGATCAACAATAAAATCAGGAGATTTATATGTAGATATTTGAAACATTTTCATGGAATTTATCAACTGATCGGTTATTGGCAGAATGATAACAAAAAATGTATGTGCTATGCTTTGTATTTTTTCATGTCAAAGTTTAATTATTTGTTACGATGCATTTTAAAGCAAAGAATCGATTTTTATTTTACAACGAAAATAAAAAGCTGCCATTAATCATCTCACTATGACTTATCAGACTAACAAACGTCAAAATGCAAAAATTTAGTGACTCATTTTTTTTCGAATAGCAAATGTCACTATATATATTCGAGAATAAGATTAAGAAAGAAAAAAACGAAAATCGCAAGAAAAATATGCAATACAATCATAATTCAATAGAAGGTTTTCGTTTATCGTCTGTTTTGAGTACATAATATCTCAACCTTGTACAATAACAATAACATAAAGATGTCTGCAGCAAATTATCAATCAATAAATGAGACGAATTCCAGTAAGAATTCTAACGAATAAAATTATATGAGAACTTGACATAATTGTTTAAGAACATTAATGAATTATTTCATATATATATAAATATATATGTTTCCTCTTCCATTCTTCTTTCCATATAGTCCTCTTTTAGAGTAGACACAACGTTGTTTTTTTGGTATTCTCTGAGAACGAATGGAATACGATCATTTTTCTCTATTCCTATGTAAAAATGGCAGGAACAAGATGAATAAAAAAAATATAGATGATAATGCTTCAGTTTTTTCCGTATAATCTACATTCCTTTCATTTTTCTTAATTATAATGCATCGTTTTAAAAAACAAAAAAGCGGTAAATTTGCTTAGATATTTTTTTTTCTTTCTCCATAAAAATTCATCGTGTTTTTGGTGTACTATACAGATGTGCCACTTGAACGTAAACAACGTCGTGTACTCAAACGTTTATTTCGATATAGTCGACCAGATTGGCCATTGATTACAGTGGGAACCATAATTTTATTAGGAGCTGCTTTATGCAAGTACTATCTTATTTAATTTCTCAAGAATCGTACTTTTTTTATTATGTTTAGCTGAAGTTTTTGTACCATTATATACCGGTAGACTTTTGTCCAGTGTTGCATTTAAAGATTCATGGAAACAATTTAAATATAATTTAATTATGTTTGTTATTGTTAATTTTGCTGGGTATAAACAATCAAATAAAGACAAAACAGAAACATGTGAAAAGCATTTTCTTTTATTTTTCAGAGGATTTCTTGGTGGATTTCGTATTGGAATATTTGCAATATGTGTATCGCGTCTTAATATTCGTCTTCGAATAAAACTATTTCAGTCATACTTACGACAAGAAATTGGTTTTTTTGATACACATGAAAGTGGAAAATTACTTTCACGTCTTAATCACGATACACAAATAATGAGTTCAACTGTAGCTAATAATACTGCTCAATGTATCGGTGCATTTGTTAAATTTGGTAAGGCTAGTAGAAAAACAAAGATTTATAAACAAATAAAAAGCTTATTTTTCTTAATGCATAAATTATTCTTTGTGTCGTATTTTATAGGTAAAAGAAAATTTACACTTGTGATAACAATTTTATTTTTTTAACGAAACATTTCTGTGTTGTTTGTTTTTAATTATTTGTATTTTTTTTATAGTTGGTACATTTATAATGATGATTAAATTGAGTTGGCAATTAACAACTGCTTGTCTTATTGGCGCACCACTTATATTAATTGTTGCTAAAATTAGTGGAAATGCACATCGACGTATATCAGAAAAAGTTCAAGATCTATCAGCTGATGCATCTGAAATAGCTGAGGAAGCAATTCAAACAATACGGACAGTTAGAAGTTTTGGAAATGAAGATGGAGAATTAAAACGATTTGCTGAGATTCTTCAACAAGCATATAAAGCATCACTTATGCAAGCTGCATTATCAGCTGCACAAAAATGGTTTGTTGAGGTAAGTATGATCGAAACAGATAATTCTTTTGTTTGCTACTGTTTGAAAACATTTCCATAATTAATGGTACATCAATAGTAGAGCTTCTGACCTTTGAGCGTTGCATATGGAGTTTTGACAAAAATAGATAATAAGCCATATGTACGTTGTTTACTAAGGTTTTTCCTGGTTCGTTCAGATATAGATACCTGTCGTTTAGAAAATAAAAGGCATGGTTTAGTATTGATTTTCTAGACCCAGAATTCTCGATTAGCGGACTCTTCTTTCCCATGGTCCATCTTTCTGCTAGTTTTTTTTACAACTTCATCGTAATTTCAGATCGAAACTAGATTTTGAAATACCATTTGCTTTTATCTAGCAGAAAGTGAAATAAGATTAATCAGACAATGTCTTTGTAAGGTAACTAGAAGTGCGACAGATCCTCCGAATGGAACAGCCTAGTAACAGATGGTCTGTTGTCAGAAAGGCCGAATCACGGTGAGTTTCGTTGACTCTGCATCATTCCTAGTACTTCGAGAATTAGAGCACTTTGTGTCAAATTTTTAGTCCGTTCTACCTGTAAAAAGTCTTGACAATCCTGATTAGATGAATCACTAGTTAACAGTAATATATGAAATTCGGTTTGACTATGGCAACAGCGATGAAAAGTATAGGTAAACTATGAAAATCTATAAAAAGCATTACTAATACAATGCACTTTTTCTTATTGTAATTGTACTATTTTTACCAATATAAATTAATAAAAATCTCAACAAAAACAATTTAAATAGTGAGTCCTTTAAAATTAATTAATGAGCTTTTCAAACTATTTAATATACTAAAACTAATGTTTTACTGGCGAGGTAACCTTCTCAGCTGTTCCCTTCCGATTTCAGTGACTTTTTACCTACAGAAACTACATAGTGTTTTAATAAAAATTTTAAAAGTAATTGGGTTCCTTTTTGTATTTCGCTAAGCCATCGCATTTTTTTTGTCGAGACACCGAAATTTTCGGAAAACCTCATCTTTTTGAATTTTGATCTGAAACTACGCTCACATAGAGAACTCAATTAGACTAGCTTCTATAAAAATATTTCTAATTCATATCTCGAAGAGACTTTCTTCAATTTTTGTGAATTATTTTACTGAAGCTAGACTAGTTGAATTCCTTATATGTGCAAAATTTCAAACCAAAATTCAAAAATACCAGTTTTCCGAAAGTCTGAAATCTTTAAAAGATAGACATACTAAAAATTCGATAATTTAGTCAAATATCAAAACGAATTCAGAAGAGATCCCTTTGTGAGCATATAATAAAAAGCATGTTTAGCAATTAAATACAAACTATTATTTATCTTTGTTCTATTTAATAGTTAGCTCAACTTGGTATGAGCGTGGTTATGCTTTCTTATGGTGCCCAACTTGTACGTAATAATCAAGTTGCTGGACCAGATTTATTAGCATTTGTTATTTATCAATTAACACTTGGATCAATTTTAAGTGTAAATAAATATATTTGATTTTTAAGTGAACGATTAATTTATATTACAGGATATTTCTCAAATATATACAGCACTTATGACAGCAGCTGGTGCCAGTCAATCGGTTTTTGATTATCTCGATCGTAAACCAGTACAACGACCAAATGGTACACTGCAACCAAATGAATTTCGAGGTGAAATTGAATTTAATAGTGTTTCACTTGTTTATCCAGCAAGACCAGGTGAAATTGCTCTTCAAGTAAAATTGATTTATTTTGTTATAACTTAATGTTTCGATTGGTTTTATAGAATATAACATTTAAAATCGAACCAGGTCAAACATGTGCTTTTGTTGGACCATCTGGTTCTGGTAAAATAAACGAAAAACAATTGTTTGTATTGATTTTATATTGAATTGGGTTGTTTTTTTTTTAGGAAAATCTTCATGTATTAATTTACTTGAACGTTTCTATGATCCAAGTAGTGGTACAATATTAATCGATGGTCGAGAAATTCATGATTATCATCATAAATATCTTCACAAAAAAATAGCTATGGTTGGACAAGAACCTATTTTATTTAATCGAACTATTAAAGAAAATATAACATATGCAATAAATGATGATGATGACAATAATATTCGAGATGATGCAGCAATAGTTTATGCAGCTGAAGAAGCAAATGCACATGGATTTATTACTGATCTTGTTAATGGATATAATACTAAATGTGGTCAACGTGGTGGTCATTTATCCGGTAAAAATTTATTATGAATAATTTTTGTTTTGAATTTTTTGCTTTAATTAAATAGGTGGTCAAAAACAACGAATATCTATTGCTCGAGCTATTATTCGAAAGCCAACAATACTTCTATTAGATGAAGCAACATCAGCTTTAGATCCTGTTAATGAACGTTTGGTAAAATTTTCAAATGAATGGATCTTTCTCTTATATATGTATATATATTTATTTTTAATAGATTCAAGATGCCTTATTCTATAATAAAGATAAACAAGAACAAAGAACTGTACTTATATCAGCACATCGATTAAGTACAATAGAACGATGTGATAAAATATTTGTTATACATAAAGGTCATTTATTTGAACAAGGTACCCATGAAGAATTAATGGAAAATGGTAATGGAATTTATCGAGAACTTGTTCGACGACAAAGAATGGATATAGATAATTGATTAAAAAAATTGATTTTGTTTGTTTTTTTTTTTTATTTATTCAGGCGTTTTTATATTGTGCAATACAAAAAAAAAACAGATTCAAACCAGCCTTAAAAAAAATAATATTTTAACTAAAAAAAAACGTTTTATCACATCAAGATAAGAGCTATCTCTGCGCCCGTACTTCAATATCCAAAGCGTCGGAGATACATAGGTATCTATTCTCGTAAGCATTTAATGAGGTCTCTTGACGGCTGAAATTTCAGCTCTTTAATGTGATTTATTCATGAGATATGTATATGCACGAAATACTGATGAATAATAATTCTTTTATATACGTAGTTGTATTGGTCAACTCATCAACAGTTCATTCATTTCAACTGATTTTTTCATGAGAAGTAGCCTGAAACCTGCGATCTATTCACAGTGAAAATTTCAAGTCTAAAAGATGCATTCTGGTACAAGTACAAAATGAGAACATTATGTATATAAACAACGTAAAGACAGAACAGAAAAAAATTTAATTGAAAGTGAATATAACATCATTGAACGAGTATATTCGTTCAATGATGTTATCTTCACTTTCAATTAAATTTTTTTCTGTTCTGTCTTTACGTTATTTATATACATAATGTTCTCATTCTGTACTTGTACCCTTCCTAATTAAAGTCAAATCAACCAATGATGCCAAAAACGTCAGTAAAATATGTACGCGGCGATTAATAGCGAAAAAAACAACAAGGAGAGAGAGAGAGAGACAATGAGAATGTAGAGTAGCGAATGGATGTATTTATGTGTCTCTCTACGGTATCGGAAATCCTTGTGAAAAAGTGAAACTACTTGATTTTATATCAAACTTCACTTGTGTTATCAGCGCTATCTTTTTTTGTATGGTTTTTTTTTTCAGATACAAATGTCAACTGCTGTGCAGAATACAACAACTTCCGTTCGACGACTATATGTGTTACTATGTGGATTTGAAATTCTTCCTAAAACAGTATCGACTCGTAATCTTGGTGCAAATATCATCATGAGTGAACCAATTAGTGCCTATTTACTCGATACGACTGAAGGCTGGATACTTGTTGATAGTGGTATTGATGAAACACGTATTGATGATCCAGTATTAGCCAAAAAATATTTTGTTGATCGCGGTTGGACACGGTCTCCAGTCGTACTTCCGATACATCGTTTGAAATATCAATTATCACTCATTGGCGTAGAACCAGAAATGATCAATTATGTTATATTGACTCATACACATGCTGATCATACGGGAAATTTAAAATATTTTCCAAATGCAAAGATATATATTCAGCGTCAAGAATACGAATATGCATTTCAATCATCAGAAAAATTAAGTGGTGCGTGGTTTCGTGATGATTATGACAATCGACCTGCAACTGATTGGCTTTTAATCGATGGTGATACGAATATTGTACCTGGTTTGGATTTGATTTCGACACGTGGTCATACACCTGGTCATCAATCTGTTCGTGTTTTGTTACCAAGTGGAAGAAGTATAATTATGACGGGTGATGCTGGTGATTTACTAGAAAATTATGAAAATGAAATCTTACCTGGAGAATCCGTTGATGATACAGCTGCACTTAAATCAATTCGACGATTGAATCAATTAGCATCGCTACCCAATACTTGTCTATTTCTTTGTCATGACCCAATTCTTATACAAACACTAAAACTTTTACCTGATTATTATGATTAATTAAAACCTTAAAGATGGATTTTCATAATACTTGCATCTCATTTCTAGAGAAATAAAATTGTACGACGATGAATTAAATGTGAAATAAACTATTTTCCAATGCAATTTTTCCTCAGGATTTGATGACACTGTGTCCAAGAATAGATTCACAGTGAAATATAGAAAATTTCAACACAATTTAGGTAACAAGATTGATGAAAAGATGGTACAGAGTTTTTCAGATATTTCTATATGAGTCAATTTCATCACTGAGCTTCTAAGTTATCGGCCAGAATATATCATTTAATCCAAAAGAGATTATATTTTCCGAGTTTGTAAATTAAGCATCAGGATGTGACAAAAAAGTCTTCAATTCTCGAAATAGAATTCTCTGATTTGTTTTAGCGCGCAAAATATTAGTTCATAGTTTAAATGCTCTAAATTCATATCGATGCTAAGACCAGTGAATCTTAGATTCAAGCTCGTCGTCTTCGTTTCATTTTGATGAGAATAGTCACTATTGAAAATCTTCCTAGTGACTATAATGCCTCTCTTCTAACCCAACATGAATAGGAAAACAATTTTTGCACAAGCCTTTCGATGAGATGAAATCAGCGCAGCCTATTACATGAAGTCTCATGACTAAAAATTCAAGTTCACATTTATTATTCTTTGAAATGATCAAGTAACTATATATTTCCACGGAATAGAGAGTGAGTATGGCTATGTGAGTGTGAGCTTGCTCGTCACTTAAACTTCATATCCAAATCTATATTCAAACAACCAATTAATATAAAAACATACGAATTATAATTGGGTCGATACTGATTGAGTAATTTATTGTACTTAAGAACAGGTCACAAAAGTGGAAAGCAATATTGTTTTACGAAGAAAATTCATTTCTAATCAAAATTCATCTACAAATAATGATAAGTCATATAACAAAGTAGCTGAATACATGAAGAAGAAAATAAATTATCGTCATGGAAATAACATTCATGTATGTGTTTCTACAATTATGACATTTAGTATCGACACTAATTTATATTCCAGCGTCATCAGCAACAAGCAAAGATATACTCAGCGAAATCTATTGGATTTTAGAAGAAGAAAGACATCATGTGAATCCTGAATGATTCACTTTTTTTTATGAGACATGAGATTATCTGTTTTTTTTCTTTATTATTATCTATGGACAAAACTGAATGATATACTTTTTCTATATAAAACAAATTTTAAAAATCATACTGTAACTATGAAAGTATTAGCCAAACATCGATTAGCTTCTGCCTAGATTCAGCTGTCAAAAGTCATACTCTTATAGAACACTACGCAGAAGATACGAGATAGTTTTTTCTGATTATTTGTATTCACTGACTAACGCACCCTATACATTTCCCAGACTATTGGAGCTCATTAAGTCCATAATTTTTGGACCCAAACCCAATTATATCCAGATCTGGAGCCAACCCGACAGGCTCTAGCCCACACCTAACAAATGACCATCATATTATTCTCATGCCATCTAAACTATTCAAGACATAATCAATAAAACGAGGGTGTTATTCAGTGTAATTAGTTAGTCTTACTTAAACATACAATCTACTGATAAATAAACACAATTAATAATGTTTTTTTGTAGTGAGGCTTGATACATATTAAGCCTCTTTGTCAATTACAAATAGTCATTTGACAGAAACCATATATACTGATACAAGAGTTACATTGCTTTTATAACCATAGGTTTCTTAACTACACAAATTCTCCTATAAATATTTATTACAAGTTGTCATTATATTTTCTGTTCATCGTGACATCTTCAACTAGTATTGTACTGTTTTCATTGAAATAAATAACCAATAGGACAAATTTTAAACAGAAAAAAAGAATCATTCTCTTATTCATAGCAAGATGTTGTTATTGCATAATGGCTATGTAATACCGTAATAACAAAAAAAATAACTAAATAAATACCCTTGAAAAAATTCATAACCATCACAAAAGAAACTTTTTACTTCAATATTTTGCATTAAAAATGTCCAGACGTGCAGCACCAAAACGTAAAGCTGCTACAACAGCTGAACATGAAATAAAACGTGCTAAAGGTGAAACAAATCTTTTTAATTTAAAATGGTATGAACATGGTGAACCATTATCCAAAGGTGTTATTCCATTAGTGTATCTCTATGGTGATAAATTACCTGGTTGTTCAAAAATTGCTTCATTTGATATGGATTCAACATTAATTAATGTTAAATCTGGAGCTAAATTTGCTAAAAGTATTTGAAAACAAAACACAAATTCTTTACAGAACACTTTTGTTTTCTCGTTTTATAGATCATGAAGATTGGGTATGGTGGCATGAAACAGTTCCAAAAAAACTTGCCGAACTTCATAAAGATGGTTATCGTTTAATAATATTTACAAATCAAGCGGGTATTGAAAAACAACATACAAGATTAGATGATATAAAACGTAAATGTGAAAAATTAATTGAAGAAACCAATGCACCTATTTATGTATTTATTGCAACTGGTGAAAATCATTTTCGAAAACCAGCTACATCCATGTATGATTTTTTTGTTGAAAACTGTAATCAAAATGTGGAAGTAAGTTATTAAGAAAATTTGATTGGTTTCTTATTCGGATGAAATTTTTCTTTTAAAATAGATCGATAAGAAAAATAGTTTTTATTGTGGTGATGCTGCTGGTCGAATAAATAATTGGACAGCAGGAAAGAAAAAAGATTTTTCATGTGCTGATAGAAAATTTGCTCATAATATTGGTTTACGTAAGCTTAAATCAAATAATCCTTGAGTTTTGTTTAATAATTTTTTTTGTTGGGACAATTTTAGCTTTTAAAACACCTGAAGAATGTTTTCTTGATGAAGCACCAACTACTAAATTTGAATGGGGTTCAATTAATCCACGTGAATACATTAATAAATTGTCTAACGGAAAAACAACAAATGAAACAAAAACTTATCATAAAACGGTTAATTTTATAAATGAAAAAAAAAAATTGTTTTTCTCATCTCAATATTTTTCTAGACACAAGAAGTTGTTATTTTACAAGGACCACCAGCATCAGGTATATTTAAATAAAAATGAAAATCTTTGTTTTTTTTAATTAAACGTCTTTTAGGAAAAAGTACATTTGCTCGTCGGTATTTTAAACCTTATAACTATGAACTAATCAATCGTGATACGCTTCAAACACCTGCAAAATGTCTTAAAGTACAATATCTATTTGTATTGAAGTCTTATATTTAGTTTTTTTTGTTTTATTCAGGCAGCAAAAGACGCTTTAGATAAAGGTAAAAGTATCGTTGTCGATAATACAAATCCAAGTGCAGATGCTCGCTCGGAGTACATTGCTCTAGCTAAATCACATAAAATTCCTTGTCGTTGTTTTATTCTTAATACACCTATGGAACTATGTCATCATTTAAATTATGTTCGTGTTCATCAAACATCAGGTGAAGTTCGTCGAATACCTGGTATGTTACAAAAAAGTCCAAAAGAAAAATTTTATATATGCATAAAAATTTTCTTTTTTTTTATTATAGATGTTGGTTATAATGTGTATAAGAAAAATTATCAAGTGCCACAACAAAATGAAGGTCTAACAGAAATTACACATATTGACTTTGCACCAAACTTTGATTCGGAAACACATGAAAAAATTTTTCATTATTATACAGAATCTTAAAAGAATGCTTTTTTTTTTGTATTGTTCTTAAATAAATATCCATTGTAATTCTAGTTCAAATATAAAACTAATAAAACTCAATGATAAATATTGTCTAATAGAAGAATACGTATGATTAAATTTCGATTTATTTTTGATTTCAATGTGTCCATATGGAAAAACTTAGAATTGCTATAAAAGCTCGCAAATTGAATCTCGAACGATTTCCTCTCATACTATTATCATTGCCAAAGAAACCTTCCCAACTTGGAAATCGCATTTGACTTCAGACTATGTGCATAAGGTAGGGCTCAATGTAGTATTAAAAGCCAAGAAAAGATCAGGTTCCTTAGACCTTTCCTATATAGTTATCGGCGTTTTACTCAAGTTTTAGACATTATCACAGTGTGTACAAACGAATGTTCGTTTCACGAGATATTGCGGATTCAAAAACCATGAGATTCTCAAGTCTTTCGTAGAATAAAAGTGATTTTTTTTTGTGAATTCAATATCTTATGAAGGAAACATTCTTTCGAGCTGATATATTGCGGACATTCAAGGTATACATAATCCTATCTAGGCGCAAAATTTCAGTAAAACTTCTATAACTCTGTACGAAAAATCGAGGTGCCATTATCTTTTCCAGATTTTTAATAATTCATTGGGAGCTACCTTATGCGCAGGGTTTGAAAACAACGGCAATTTTCAAGTTGAGAACGTTTTCTTGTTTGCTAACGAACATTGAAGACGATGGCGGATGAGAAGAAGAACAAAAATAAAAACAAATGTTCTGCTTCAACAATGAATCGTCAATTTTGATTGCTATTGGATTAAAATGAAATAAGTCTTGATGACTTCCTAGATGGACTTTCCTATTAGTTCGAAAAAACAAATGATCTTTTCTTATGAACCTTTTTAAAATCCTTCTACTTCATTACTTTATTGGCATGGATTTTTAAAATCAAATATCAAGTACAAACTACTGTTGTTTGATTATTTTTTTGACACATACTCTGCAAACTGTTCGAGAATAGTTCTTTTTTCAGTATTATTTATTCGAACATTTTCGTAATCGAGCTTATTACATTCAATCAAAAGTTAAGTCCTTTGAGACTTGTACAAATTATTTCCGGGATTGAGATCCAAGAACGATGAATGTGTTCATGTCTAACTTGTTTTTCATAAAATCTGTAAGTGAATTTCATCTTTTTTTGACAAGATCATGACTTGGTTATTTGGAAGAAAGAAACAAGTATTTAGCATTTGATAATGGAAGACAGATTTAATCTCTATTAAGAGAAACAAATTTTTGCTTGAGATTTCCATTACT